CTCCGCATGATTGTCATGACGACGGAGACTCCTGATCCAACAATGGGCTACGACACAGACACACACGTCACTTAGTTTCTTGTTGACCCTGCGGAATCTCTTCTGCCATCGCTGGTTTCCTCATTTTAAACGAAAGTCACAATCACTGGCACCGGAGCCTTATAAGCTTGGCTTTTCAAGTACTCGTTCGACTCCGTCATCAGAGACGGAGCTAGCTAAGGATAGTGGATTACACGAGTGCTATAGTATTTATAGGGCGTGGTTGCTAGGTCACTACATGCCTGTCACAATTGGCAGCTGCCGAGTGCAGGGTGGATAGTTGCACGTGGTACGTCTGACTGGCAAGATGGTGCAGTATGTCAACATTAACGGTGTCGACGTTCCTCACGGATGGTATTTGCCCGTGACACGAAAACTGCCCACAGCAGAGTTGCTAACAGCTGGACCTTCGTTTCCGTGATTCTGTATTTTCCTTCGCGATTACTTCCTAGAAGTCGCTTCGGCCGGCGTCAAAAATAGCTACCAAGACTGGTGGTAATAGGGGTGTGACCCTAGGACACAGGTCCGTAACCTCAACTGAAGCTTCAACTGTAAACGTCACCTTAACTTTAACACCACCCCGAACCTTAAAACTATCGATAACTCGAGTAAGAACACAACCGAATAACGCGTGCTTAAATAACTTTAGCAGGACATCTTGTATATTGAACCGACGCGGACTACATACCATATCCCTACCCCGCCTCCTCTTTTATATTGATTATGACTTCCGCTAAAGCTTTTATACTTTACAAAAAATGTTTGCTCCAGTACCGTCTAAATTCCCTACAGCTTCTTCCGAGGATTTTGGACATTGATAGGCTATGCTTTTTTGAATAAAGCGAAACGTTTGTTTATAGGGGCGTTTTGTGTACAATTGCCTTCTTTCGTGCTATTGCGCCTCTGTTTACCTTGGCACAAATAATAGCTGGTAATGCTTCGTGGCATCTTTCGAGGGCTGTGGCGACAAGAGACATGCGAAGTTCGAAATGATTCTCGTTCCGTCTGTTCCGCGTCTCACAGCACCTGGCTTCTGCCCATTAATCTGCGTGAATGTATTATTAAAGGCCATTTAGGGCGTTGTAAATACGCCGTCAGTGGGTTGGGGAGCTGTATTTTTGACGTCAGTAGTCCACCAGATTCAGGCCTCATCTAGAAACACCATCCTATTTGAAGGCTGACTCCGTAAATATTTGCATAACGTCGGTCAAGGCGGAATGGAGAAGATCACCATTTAAATATGCCGGAAAAGTGTGTTTTTGTGTCATCTTGTGCGCAGGGACAAACTTCTATAGCCACCAGTTTTTTGTCTTAATTCCCTCATTGTTTCGATGTGGCTCTTATCATTATTATTGCCTGCGTGTTACCTTTTCGATGAGTTTATTTAATGAAAATCAATAAAATTCTCCCTTGAGCCATGCCGTCTTGTTTGTTTTAGTCCATGGCACACTATCGACGGTTCTTCGAAGACGCACAGGAAACCAAGGTAGCCGGCCTCTACGACCTTGGCCCGACCATTGGGAAGGGACACTATGCTGTGGTAAAGCTGGCCCGACATGTCTTCACGGGGGAGAGCGTAGCCGTGAAAGTAATCGATAAGACGCGACTCGATCAGGTTTCTCGTGAACACCTGTTTCAAGAGGTTGTTTGCATGAAACTGGTCCAGCATCCCAACGTTGTCCGTCTGTATGAGGTCATTGACACTGTCAACAAGCTCTACCTCGTCCTTGAACTGGGTGATGGCGGCGATCTCTACGACTACATAATGAAACACGAAAATGGCCTGTCCGAACACCTGGCGAAACGGTACTTCCGTCAGATAGTGACTGCCATTTCTTACT